ACTGAAGCACGTGCCGCCAGAGCTCCTTAACCTCCTGCATTCGGGTGGTGCATTTGTTATAACTGATGAGCTAATACGATACTTTGTTATCAGCTTGGATCCACAGTTTAGTCAGGAATCCCTGGGTGGCATGAGCCATTAAGTGCTCAACTAGTAGCCGAAGGGTTGGCTGTTCGAGCCCCCCCGGAGGCACCTGGCATTCTGATTGAGAAGGTCACAGCCTTGAATGCTTATGGGGCAGTTCTGCTCTGCACACAGGGGGCGTCATGCGTTGGCATCAACCAGACGGCAGCTAACCACCACCACTCTGTTCCCGCTCTGGTGTCGCACAGCTCTGTAATGTTGTTTTCAAAGAATGTATTTTGTTGTTGTTGAGAATATATACAGCAAGGACACACCCATTCACGTTGCTCCACACGCTTCTGCACAATCAAGTTCAGTTGTGCAACCATCCTCATCCCCCTTCTGAGCTGTGCCTTCTCCACAACTCACTGCCCCCGAAGGTTCCCATCTAACCTTTCGAGTTGCTGTTGTCAATTCGATCCCATTTGTTGGGATTGTTAGGGGCCGTCAAGTTGGTTCCGACTCCTAGTGACCCTGTATGTAGACAGTTCTTAAGAGACCGTAATGCTCAGGGCAGACTTCTTTTACTAGGTAAGCTACACTATTGTTTAGTTTGAGGAAGACTTCGGGGGATGTTTCTGGACGAGGGTTGGAAGATAATCTCGGCAATAGTTTTGGGGCTTCATCCAGGCCCCCATGAAGCAGCCCTGTGGGTTTGGACAAACACGTAATGTCATGTGTGCACCACGGCATTATCATGGAGAGGAGTTTCGCTGCCTTAAAAATGCCCCGTGCTCCAGCTGCTCCTCCCTCCCTCGACTTCCCCGACTGCTTCCTCAGCTCCTGGCAACCACTGATCTTTTCACTGGCTGCAGTGTTGCCTTTCCCAAAATGCCCTGTACGTGGAATCGTGCAGCACGTAGCCTTTGCAGACTGGCTTCTTCCACTACCATTCTGCTGTTAGCTGCTATCAAGTCGGTGCTGACTCATGGCGTCCTTACGGAGTGTTGCCCGGCCTACGGATCTCCATGATCTCTGCTGCGTCTGAGCCCGTTACAGCCATTGTGTCCGTTCAGCTCATTGACGGTTTCCCTGAGCAACATGCATTTGAGGTGCCTCCGTGTCTTTCCGTGCTGTGATCACGCATTTCTCTTTACCGCTGACTAATACTCCATGGTACAGGATGTCTCACGCTCTGTTTATCCGTTCCCTGTCCACCTGTCTCTGCAGTGTGTTTCTTTTCTTTTTTTTTTTCTGGTTATGAAAAAGTTGTGCACTTTGAACACTGATGGGGGATCTTCGTCTTTGGGTTGTTTCTATTTTAAATTCCAGTTAGAAGGTAGATAACAAAACATTTGCCATTTCAACCATCTGTAGGTGTGAGGTACTGCGATTTGAACATGCACCGTCTCCATTGTCTTTCACTCTGTTGGTTTCCTTGCCTCATTTATTTTTTTCTTGAAGTGTTTGCTTTGAGGATAGCGAGTCCTTCTTCCTGTCGCACTTGCCGCAGGCTGGGTTCTGCTGGTGGTGCTCCTGCTAACTGCAGTGTTGCTGAACATGGTTGTCTGTGCCCTGTTTGTCTTGTGAACCGGTAGCCACATCAGGAGACTTGATTAGCCTCTGGTCCAGTTGTCATGGCCACAACACTTTCCGGGTGGCGTGTATGACTTAGCCATACAATGCATCTCATGCATCGTGTGAGTTGGCTGGTCGAGTTCGTTTTCTTCCCCTGTGGGGACATCCAGTTGACCCAGCACTGGTTGCAAAGACTAGCCCTCTCCCGGCTGCCAGTGTCTCCCCTCCGTCCCATCCCTCCCCAGAGCTCAGCTCCAGAAAGGTCTTAGGGGACCCAGGGCTCACTCTGTCCCTCCCCCTCACACAGCACTCCTGGGGCTCTCCAGGTCGCTCCTGGCACTCGAGGCTGTACGTGGGGTGCACCCTCAGTGCATCTCCTCAGCTTCACGTCTCTCCAGTCAGCCCCACGGGTCCCCGTCTCCAGTCAGCCACACGGGTCCCCACTGACTTGTCAGTTGCCCTCTAGTGGATTCTGACCTCGTGTGTTACAGACTAGACCCACTCCATAGGGGCTTCTGGACTGTCATTTCTTTTCAATCCAAACTGTGTTTACTGGGGTCATTTCCCTCTCATCTTGATTCAGCATGCTTTTAGTGCTGCTTCCTTCTGAAGGAGCAACCCTCTGTGAGCCTTGCGTTTCCTCCTGGAGCAGCCCACACGCACAGCTGCTGTCTGTGCACGGGACGTGACTCACAGCATCGAGGGCATTTCCCACCCGTGAAGGGGAGACTAGGGCTTTGCCCCGGGCGCTGCTTCGTGTGTTTGCTCTCCTCCTCTGGAGAGGGATGGAGGAGGTCCCTTGTGAGAGGTCATCCCGCTGGAAAGGCTTCTTGGCTGCCATCTTGGGGGAAGCAGATCACCAGGGCTTCTCTTCCGCGGCACCATCGCTGTTGGGTTGTTGTGTGCCGTCCAGTCAGACCCGACTCATAGCGATCCCTCCCTGGGTTTCCAAGGCGGTATCACTACAGAAGTAGATTGCCCCAACCTTCCTTCCAAGGAGTGGCTGGTGGGTTTGAACCGCCAGCCCTCTGGTTAGCAGTCAAGTGCCTTAGGCACTACGCTACCAGAGCTCCACATGGCACCATTGGGTGGATTCAAACTGTCAACCTTCAGGTTAGCACTTGAGCATAGGGGCAGCTGACCCAGCATGATTTGTTGAGTAGACCAAGCACATAAACACTGAATTACAATGGAGGTTTGTCACAAAGTCGGTGTGGATTTGCGTCTAGAGTATTCTGTTGATCTCTCAGTCTGTCCTGGTACCAATACTTCACTCCTCTCAATTGGTTTGGCTATTCCATGGTGAGAAGCTCTGGTAGTGTAGTGCCTAAGGCACTTGACTGCTAACCAGAAGGCTGGCGGTTCAAACCCACCAGCCAGTCCTCAGAAGGAAGGTTGGGCAATCTACTTCCGTAGTGATACCACCTCGGCAACCCAAGGAGGGGTCACTATGAGTTGGGGCCCACTCGATGGCACACAACACAACAACATTCTGTGTTGTGAGTTGTCTGGGTTTATTTTTCTTTTTAAATATTGTCTTGGTGATTTTAGCACATTTGCATTTTAGAATCACGCATATCAGCTTCCACCAAAAGAATCCTGTTGGGATTAGGATTGTGATCTAATTGAATCGATGGATCCAAATAGGGAGAGCTGACATATTAACAGTATTCAATCCTCTAATCCACCAACATGGTTGAACCCTTCCTTTATACAACTCTTCTTTAACTGTTCGCAGTCATATTGCGTAGTTTTCAGTAGCGAGGTCTTACATATCTTTGGTTAACATTTATCCTAAGTATCTGCTATTTTTTGATGCTAACTGTAGATGGGGCTCAGGGGATGGCCTCGGGCCTAAGGCAGTGGCCTACCAAGTGGAAGGCCGGCGGTTCAAACCCACCAGCCGCTCCCCGCCAGGTAGACCAGGCCATCTTTTTCTGGACTCAGCCCTCCTCAGAAACCCAAGGAGGGTTCACTAGGAGTCCGATCCACAACATGCCAGTCACTGGGGAGGTGTTCTTTCTAGGAACTCTGGTAGCGTGGTGCCTAAGGCATTTGACTGCTAACGAGAAGGCTGGCAGTTCAAACCCACCAGCCACTCCTTGGAAGGAAGGTTGGGCAATCTACTTCCGTACAGATACCACCTTGGAAACCCAAGTAGGGGTCGCTATGAGTTGGGTCCAACTCAACGGCACATAACAACAACTGTAAATGGCATTAAACATTTTTATTTTTCAATTGTTTGGAGCTAATTTGAGGTCTCTGGCACAAAAGGTGTTTGTTAGCTACTAACCTAAAGCTCGGGGGGTTGAACCCACCCACCACGACCACAGAAGAAAGGCCTGGTAACCTGCTTCCTTAGAGATTATGGCCAAGACTTATGCCCTATGGGGCAGTTCCATTCTGTAACTCCCGGTGTCACCAGGAGTCGGAGTCAATCTGGTGGCAGTGGGCTGATTGTTGGTTGCTGGGTAATTGATAGAAAAGCTATTGATTTATATATATTGACCTTGGATCCTAGTGGCATAGTAGTTAAGCGCTCAGCTGTTAACCAAAATGTCAAGGATTCCAGCCCACTGGCCACTAGTGGAAGAAAGATGGGGCATTCTGCTTCCTTTAAGATTACAGCGTAGGAAATCCTATGGGGCAGTTCTACTCGAGTCAGAATCAATTCACTGGCAAATGGTTGGGTTTTGGTTTTATTTAAACACGTCTATGGAAGGAGGAAGGGGCTCTGGTGGCACATTGCCTAAGGCGTCTGACAGCTAACCGGAAGGTTGGTGGTTCAAACCCACTGGCCAGTCCTCAGAGGGAAGACTGGGCAATCTACTTCTGTAAAGATTTACCATCTCGGAAACCCAAAGGGGGTTGCCATGAGTCAGAGTCAACTGAATGGCAGTGAGTTTGGTGGCACAGTGGTTAAAGCATTGGACTGCTAACCAAAAGGTGAGTGGTTCAAACCTACCAGGTGTTCCGTGGCAGAAAGATGAGGGCAGTCCTTAAGGACTGACAGTCTTGGACACCATATGGGGCAATTCTCCTTTGTCCTATAGGGTGGCTGTGAGTCACAATGGACTTAGTGGGTTTGGTGTTTTTAGGTATGAAAGAAGGAATGGGTGAGAGATGGGATTCTGAGGGAGAGACCCACGGGTGGGATAGGTGCCCACCCCCGAAGCCTTCCCTGTCTCCCCACTGTGTCCTCCAGGCTCAGCCGGCTCAGCGCGGGCGCATGGCAGGTGTGGCCCTGCTGGGTGTGGGGGGAGGGCTGGGCTCCTGTTCCTTTCCAGCCCTGTCCCGGGCCGCTGCGTCCACTCCACGGCTGGGCTCGGCACTCAGCCCTGTCTGCTGTCTGTCTGCAGAGCCGCCCTCCATGCGCCTGAAGGCGCGACCCAGCAGCCCTGGCTTCTCCGAGCTGACCTGCAGCGCCTTCTCCTTCTACCCGCCGGAGCTGCAGCTGCGCTTCCTGCGCAACGGGCTGGCCGTCGGCTCCGGGGAGGGCGACTACGGCCCGAACGGCGATGGCTCCTTCCACGCCTGGTCATCACTACAAGTCAAAAGCGGCGAGGAGCACCACTACCGCTGCGTCGTGCAGCACGCGGGGCTACAGCAGCCCCTCACGGTCGAGCTGGGTGAGGCCCTGCCTGGCGGCCAGCCTCCCGATTTCCGGTGGCCCACCGCTGCAACAGGTTCTCCTGAATCTCACTGCCTTGTGCCCCAAATCGTGGAGTAGATTACCATGCATAGCGACCCTGCGGGACAGACTGGAACTGCCCCCTAGGGTTGCCAAGGCTGCAAATCTTAATGGACTCACAGCGCCCCTAGAGGACAGAGTGGAGCTGCCCCACAGGGTCCCCAAGGCTGTCAGTCTTTACAGAAGCAAAGCCCAAACCACACCCACTGCGGTGGAGTCCATTCTGACCCACAGCGCCCCTAGAGGACAGAGTCCACAGGGTCTCCTAGGCTGTCAGTCTTTACAGAAGCAAAGCCCAAACCAAACTCACTGCAGGGAGTCAATAACTCACTCACAGCGCCCCTAGAGGACAGAGTGGAACTGCACCACAGAGTTTACAAGGCTGTGGATCTTTACAGCAGCAAAGCCCAAACCAAACCCACTGTGGTGGAGTCCATTCTGACTCACAGCGCCCCTAGAGGACAGAGTGGAACTGCACCACAGGGTTTGCTTTCCACCGCTGAAAATCTTTCCGGAAGCAGATATCAACAGCTTTCTCTTGCAGAGTGGGAGTGGGTTTGAACTGCTGACTTCTGGTTAGCAGCCATGTGCTTTTAGCCAGTGGGCCACCAGGGCTCCTTGCCATGTGTCCACAGCTTTCTATCCTGTGTTGCTTGTCCTCTGCAAGTCTGACTGCCTTCCACCCTGCTGCTGGGTCCCACTGTGTGTGACCACCTAGTGACCTCTCTGGGCAGTCTTCTCTGAGCCTGGTCCCCTTCAGCCTCACTGCTGCTGGTCCTTCCTGTGGCCAACCACCTTCCATCCTGCTGCGGGTGGACTTCCTGGAGTGTGGTCAGTCACTGCCCACTTCTGCCAACTCTTGCCAAGGCTGACCATCTGCTGCCTGCTCCTGCCAGTCTTCCCCGAGTCTGACCTTGCGCTGCTCCATGCCTGCCCATCCTCCAAGTTGGAACACCACAGGCCTCTTGGCCAGTGTGACCACCATTCCTTGCTACAGCTGGTCCCTCCATCCGGCCTGGGGACAGTCTGCTCAGGGCATCCCCTGACACCTCAGTGCAGGGATCGCTAAGGCTGGGTGGTGCGGGAGGCCCCATTCCCAGTCCGGGCTCCTCGGGGTACAGGGTCCATTCACCGTCTCGTGCCTTCTCCGGCTGCAGAGTCATCAGCCAGGTCTGCAGTGCCTGTGGTTGGGATCGTGGTCGGCATCGTGCTGCTCATCGCGGCAGCGACGGGAGGAGCTCTGCTGTGGAGGAGGAGGGGGGGGCTGCCAGGTGTGAGGCGGGAGGGGAGGAGCCTCAAGAGGGGGGCAAGGAGCCAGAGAGGGCGACGGAGACCCTGGTGTGGGGGGAGACCCAGAGGGAGGGGGACAGAGACCCAGAGAACGTCCATGGAGGAGGGATAGGCCAAAAGAGGATTTCAGGACAACCTGATGACCCCCTGTTCCTCTCTCCGCAGTCCCTTGGATCTCCTTCCGGGGCGACGATGTCGGTGCCCTCTTGTGCAGTCCTGGCCTGCCCCAGGAGGCCGACTCTCAGGATACAAACTCATTGACGGGCACTGCCTGACCAGCCTCCGTTCTGATCGCCACCATTTAATGTCGTCGGGGCCCTTTCATGCTGTGAGACCTCAGGATGGAATCCTGGCATCTCTGAGCCTCCAGAAGGAGTCAGGGCCCAGCGGCCCCCCTCTGGACCCCCCCTCCCCATCTCCTGTGGCCTCCGTGTCCCCCTCCCCCATCTGGGGAGCGCTTTTCCATTTCCCCATATATGATTTTGGGCCCGAATTGGCTGTGTTCTCTTCATTTCAAGTGTTGGGAGGGCGGTTTGGGAAGGGAGCTGGTGGAAGAACTGGGCTTCAAATCTCACCTGCAGCTGACTAACGGCCGTGGCACACGGAATGCAATTTCAAATACCAGGTCACACATTTTCCACAAACCAGTGCCCGCCCTTTGCCAGCCGTTTTTAAGAGTTCTGGGCTGAATCTGACCTCAATCCTTGCTGGAGAGGAGTTTCCTCTTTGAGGGGAGGGGCTGTCTGCCTTGGGGACCAGTCCAGCGTCCTGAGAAGAGAAATGGACAAAAAATACATTTCCCAGGAGGCTTCGCGGCCAGGACAACTTGGAGGTGGTCGCCCCGGGAGCCCCGAGGCTTCCTGGGAGTTGTAGTTCGCTTCAGCCCCGTCGTTTCAGAGTCACCTGCCCCGCCTGCCCTGGGAAGGGGTGGGGCCCAGCCTCGCGGGGCGCGCTTTCCGTTGTGGACGTGGCGAGGGTCGCCCGCGGCCTGGCAGGCGCTCATTGGCCCCGCCTCTCGGGGTCCTCGCGCGCTCCCATTGGTCCGTGGGCGCGGCCGGAGGCGGGGCCAGGCTGGAGAGCGGCCAAACGGGGCATCTTTGGGACACACTGAACGGAGCTTGGAGAGGGAAGGCTGGCTGCATAACGGGGTAAAGGGGTGTGAGGGGTGCCCAAGGAGGGCGGTTCGGGTCGAAGATCACCGTCCAGGTCGAAGGCGACCCCCGGGAGTCTGCCTGGGCTCTCTCTGTCCACTACCCCACCCTCACTTTGCGTGGGACATGCGCCACGTCTTAGCCTGGGGGGTCCCCTTATTTGTGGTTCTGGAACCCCTGTGGACTCCCTCAGAAGATGAGGTCCCCGTGCTGGTTATAGCTCTGAGAACCCCTTGTGCTCATCTCCACACCTTTCTGAGGCCAGACCTTTACAGCCTGCCTTGGCCCACTCTCCTGCTCCCCCAAAATCCTCCTGCCCTCTTCCCTCCGACCCCTGACCGCTGGCCTCCAACCCTCCGCAGGGACTGATGATGTGGCAAAGATCACTGCTGGTGCTGGTGCTGCTGCTGGGGCGGGGGGCCCAGGGGAAGCCGTCTCCCGACGCAGGCCCTCATGGCCAGGGGAGGGTGCACCAGGCGGCCCCCCTGAGCGACGCCCCTCATGACGACGCTCACGGGAACTTTCAGTACGACCATGAGGCTTTCTTGGGACGGGAAGTGGCCAAAGAATTCGACCAGCTCAGCCCTGAGGAAAGCCAAGCCCGTCTGGGGTAAGAGTGATATGGGGGTCCTAGTGGGGTGCAGTGCTAGGGGCGCCGGGACAGAGAGCTTGGAACACTGATGTGGAGACAGAAGCGGGGCACGGGGAGAAATGGAGTGGGCCTTGGTTCTTGCAGCGAATCGGCAGTGGAAGCCTACCTCCCCTCCTCAGGCAAAACGAAATTAAGAATTCAGGCCTCAAGATAAGTCCTTTGAAAACGTGAAGATCTAGATTCAGCTCCTGTCCCCTGAGTCTCTCTTTGTTCTTTTGCCCCAGACCCCTTCCCTGTCTGAGCCTCAGTTTCTTGTTCTTTCAATGGGTCATCCGTGTTCCTTGGCAAGGGGCTGATGGGAAAAATCACAAAATTTGGCCTGGAAAGAGGACAGCCAAGGCAGGAAGCAGGCTGAGCCCCAAGTCCCAGGGTGGACTGGGTTGAGACGGGTCTCCCCACGAACCTGAGAGAGGCCTGGGCACCCTTGTACGAAGAGACAGGCAGAGTGGGCCTCGGCGCACGAGGCAGTGCCAGAGCCCATCCCTGCGTGCACGCCCACGGCAGCTCATTCATCCCACAAACGTCTGCTGAGCGCCCGCTGGGAGCCAGACTGGCAGAAATCCCTTCCCTCGTGCAGCGTGCGTTGTAGAGCAGACAGAACGACACATAAAAGCTTCAGTGCGTTAGAGAAAAATAGAGCAATAAAGAGTATGGAGGAGGGATGGGGAGGGGATTGCACTTTTAAACAGGAGGTTCACAGCAGGCCTGGAGGATGAGGTAACATTTAAGCCACGTGGGTGCCTGGGAATAGCATTCCAGGCAGATGGAACAGTGTGTACAAAGGCCCTGAGGCAGGGGCGGCCCTGGCATGACAGGAATAGCGAGGAGGCGAGTGTGGCTGGAACAGAATGAGCAAAGGGGCGGGCGGCAAGGAGAGGAAAACAATGAGGAACCACATCGTGCAGGGCCCTCTGAGTGAGCAGGGAGCCAGAGGCGGGTTCTCCTTAGAGGAGATGCATCGCTGTTTTAGGCCTTAACAGAATCTCT